CTAAGCGATTAAGCGACTAAGCGACATGTTAATAATAATACAAAATAATAATAATATTCTAAGATAATTAATAATAATAAAATAATAAACTAATAATAAATTCGTTCTATAACACTATCAAAAAAAACAAAAAAGAAAAGTGCACTATTATAACCCATGCCAGGTTTAAGAAAAAATTTTATAACAACTGCAACGTTTATATATTCTGACTATATAATTTAACAACTTATTATCTGACTACCGGCCACCTTGGATACCTCTTATACCAGAAACCCGATCCTAGTCACATAGAGGTTCCATATCTATAAACTACATCGCATATCATATTTACCAATAAACAAAGCATGTGGTTGCATTCCTGGGTACGTCCGAATTTGGGAGGTAAACAATGCTAATCTTTTGGAGAGGGTAAGCCAAATCGCCCACTTTTTATCGAAAATTTTGAAGAAAACCAGCTGAGTGAAAAACACCTAGGAAGAGACCACTTGTACCCAAAGAAAGTAGTTATATCCATGCAAAGACTCAACAACATCTAAACCTTCTTCTAAGAAAAGGGTGGGGCACCTATACTCTCTTTTTTATAAGTGATAAACTCTGGGCTTGTCGGCAAATAGCATATGAGAACTACTTCTAAACAACAAATGCTGTGCAAGCGGTGAGTGATAAACTCTGAAGAAGTTGGCAGGTAGTGTATGAGAACTACCTTTAAATAACAACTGCCGACTTATAGCCAAGTGTGCTCTCTGTTTTTTACTAAATACTATTGTGTTTTTTACAAAAAATGTGTTTAGATTTTTGGTACAGATGATCATTGGAAAGAGTTGTCCCCGAATTTGATTGTTTATTTTAATTTATATATTTTATTCCTTTTAATAATAATATAAACTAATAATATATATATATATATATTTTTCTTTAATAACCTCGCACTAATTTATTAAAATATTATAATTTAAAAGAAATTAATCTATCTAAATATATATTAGGCAAAACCTGGCTGCTATAAAAGTGCTCAAGAATAGTTATCGTACTAATATTTGCCAATAGGCCCCATATGCAGTAATATCTGCATTTCAAAACCTGCTATAGCATAATACTCAGCTACCTTATTTCTCATATTACTTTCAACTTTACTTTGACCACCATCTCGCTAGAAATAAACTCAAGATTTGTAATCTTATTATTTCCATTGCTAACTTATAAACTTTAACTATTTTTTCTCTAAAAATAACCAAAGTATTCTTCTTTTTCTCTACTTTTAATACTTTAGCTCTATCTTCATTTTCTTTTTGTCTCTTGCTCGGACGACTTGTTGATGCAACTTCATTATCTACTAAAAAGTCTTCTAAGCTTCTATGTCTTTTCTCTTTTTTTAAAGTTATAACTTCTTCTCTTGTCATTTTGGCCTGCCTTTTTTACCACTTTTTTGAACAATTTTCTGCTATATCAATATTTCTTGTTAGTTCTTTATTTTCTGCTACAGAGTTAGCTTCTATTTGGGCATTACTATTAACTTTAGGCCTTTTTATCCTCTTGATAGGTTTGTTTATACTTATACTTTCTTTCCATACTGCAAGTTTTTTATATCTTTCCCTCAATATCACTCTATAGAAACACTCTTGTATAACATATACTAGTGCATCATAGCATTGTCTACTTGATTTGTGTTTTCATTTATTACTTATAAACTTGAAAAATCAGCTTGGCAAGCTAGACCAAATGTGAGAGCTTTCTTTTTTTTTAACCTTTCTTCTTGTATATTCCCAAAAACTATCTTTCTAATTTCTTCTATAGAATACATAAGTCTAGTTTCTTTTTCAAGCATGGCCCAAACTAATAATATATAATAATATAATATTTTATAAAAATTATTATTATTTTTATTATTATTTTTTTTTTAGCTCTTTGACAGTTTTGCCAAAGCTTAAATACAATACTTTATTAAACAAACTTGGACAGAATGTATAATAACAGTATAGAAAATTGCAAGCCTGACATTACTTGGCTGCATCTAGTGTGCCCAAGAGTGACTTGTTGCACCAACCTACATATAAGTTAGAAGACCTTGTCAGCCCACCAAGAGCTTATTCCTTCATTCTTACTTTCTTCACCAAGAGCAAAAGAAAATAATGTTCCATATTCTCAATACTGAAACATATATCAAGAAAAAAATTGTGTTTACAAACAAAAAAGAAACAAAAACAAGAAAGGAAAAATAATAAGAAATAAAAATAGGAGAAACAGAAAATATAAAAAAAGAAAAAACAAAAAGATAAGCCCCAACAGGCTGAACAAGAAAAAGCTATCTCCCATAAGAAATAGCAGCTATCTCTATCAAGAAATAGCACAAAAACAAATACAAAAAAAAGAAAAAAGAGAGTGCATTATTATAACCCATGCCAGGCAAGTATAAAAATTATATAACAAATACAACATTTATATATCTTTACTGTAAAGCTTCACCTTAATGTTAATATTCCTTTCCGATCATACAACCAACTCCAGTGATGGACAAAACTTATTATATCACTTGATTTTTTTTTGTGACCTTTGTCATTTGTTATATAACATTATATCACGATACACTTAGTTACTTAGTTACAATTAATGTATTACATATTAATAAAATAATATAAAATGATATAGATCGCTATATTACTAGTCACGTAGTTATTTAAATATCCAATAAAAACTAAATTATTATCAAATTTATAAATTTATATTTATCTAACAATTTTAGTAGTACAATTAGAGTATAAAATAGTAAATCTATTATTTAAAGTAAGTAATATTATACTAAACCTATGCCTTATTATTTCAAAGTCATTTTGAATTTATAATTATTTAAGTGACTGGTCACTTAATTTTTTGAAGTGACAAATGATTAGTGACAAAGTCATCTAAATCATCATAGTCATCAAATATAACTGTCTATCACTGACCAACTCCAGAATATTTGATTCTAACCTAATCCATATCTTGAGCCAGGTGCTGCCACTGTCCATAGATCTGTATCTCAAGCCACCTGCTGTCACAATTATAACCCGGGACCTGTTCAAATTAGTAACACTATATCTATTGAACATATGGTTGTAATCTACTCGGCTATTCAGATTTGGGATATAAACAATATTAATTTTTTGGAGGAGGTAAGCCAAATCCCTACTTTTTATTCAAAAAAAATTTCCAAGAATGGCAAGAGTTATAGAAAGAAATTTTACAAGTAAAAAACAACCACTTGCTAAATTTGTAAGAAGTATATTGAAAAATAAAGACTTTTGTTGTTCCTCTTGTCTTTTCTGTTTGACTCTTAAAAGACTTCATCAATGGAAACCCTCCTTTCCAGAACACCGTCTCCACCAAAATTTTCTATACAAGGGCACCCTCTGCCAGTTATCTTGTACCAAAACGCTTTTGGCTTGCATGCCAAATATGTAAAGAAGTTGTGAAAGAGTATAAAAGCAGTAACCTCTACAAAAAACACCTTATCAGAATACAAAACAATGTTATCTCCAACAAAATTTTTATTTTTCTTTGGGCAGAAAATTTGAAACAAGTGATCATTGGAAAGAGTTGATAAAAATTATTATTATAAAAATAATAAATCTTTAAAAATTAATAACTTTTAATCTATTGATCCAATTTGGATGATTTAACTACCAAAATGATTCTCTTATAGAGGTGATTTTAATGAATCTAAAATCAACCAAATCTGATTATGTGATTTCAAAATCATTAATGTTTATGTTATATTTACTATAGTAAATATAATATAAATTATTATTAACCTTGAGCAAGATTATATAATTAGATTTAGCTAATTTTAAATTCATTAGAAACAACTTTATAAGAGGATCATTTTGGTAGTTAAATTATCCAAATTGGATCAATAGATCAAAAGTTATTAATTTTTAAAATTTTATTATATTTTTTATTAATAAAATTTTTAATAATTTCTCTAATTGCAGGTTCTTTCTAAATACAGATCAAAGTACTGGTTCTAGCAACATGCACTTAGAGAGAGTCGACTATATGCATTTTATACAAATTTATATTAATTTTAAAGTACTACTTCTTCTTTATGTTTAATTTTAAATATGGGTTGATTAGTTTTTTCTATTAGCATTTTATAAAAGATAATATATATATTTTAAATTACTGTATTAATATCAAACTATTAATCCAAAAAAATAAATAAATAAAATTTATAATATTTTACAATTACTGCAAAGTAAGCTTTATTATAATATAAAATTAAACAAATTGTTTTTTAGATATTTATCAAATTAAAATTTGTATTAAACTTATTTTAATACCAAAAAAAAATTGAATTGAATCAAAATTTTAATACTAAATAAAACTCTATATTAAAGTAAGATAGATTTTGGTAGTATTATAAAATATATAGTCTAACATCTTTATAGTTATCTTCTTTATAGTTACAAAATTAATATAATTATAGGTTTATTTTTATCAACTTGCTTATATCTCTTTATAAATACAAATAGCTTATAGTTAATATTATATATCCCTTAAGCTGTAGAGTTCGTGTAACAATTTTAGCTTAAAAATAGCATAAATTTAGTTATGATTTATTTT